TTTTTTTTCTTACGAGTGGGAAGCTTCTCAATTGCCATTCAACATTTTAAAGCACAAGCCGCTCTGCTGTGAAAGCGCCTGATCCACACTTCTCTGAAAGACACAGGAGGGAATACACAATTGCTGATTTCACCCACTGTGGCGGTGCAGATCACAGGAAACAACTGACCGATACAATTTTATTTGCAAATAGAACTCTGTATTATTATTTTTTTTTTTTTAATCGCGCCGCGGCTCTTTTCCCCTCCCCTTTGCCATTCCGCTTTATATGGATGTAATTCAGAATCTGTGTTAATTCACATGGGGGATCCAGTTACATCTTGTTCCGCTCCGGGTATAATTACGAGAGACCAATAACCGCCTTTGGACACATAGTTTTGTTGCTAACCTTTGAACTGAAAGGATCAAGTTCAGATCTGGTTACCTGCATTGGGACGGGAAGGAAGAGGAGAGAGAGAGAGAGAGAGAGAGAGACTGCAATCTCATTTGTGAATCGCTTTCAGTGCTGCAGATCCAGATTGCTATAACACATGCAGTGCAAATGCAGGTAAGGCACACACACAAACTGCGGATGCAAAAACAAACTTGGGACTGTTGTGTGTCTATGTTCTTATCTCCAGCCTTGCAAATTCTGGGCAAACGGCTTATGCAGTTTCTGTATCGTTGCTTTGTGACTAATGACCTTGCGCAGAGTTGTTAAAAAAAAAATCCGCTCCGGAGAAAGAGCTGAACATTTTAGGCGATCTCTGAAGATGGATTTGGGTGCTTTTCTGCCAACGAAAGGGGATATTCTGTGGACTGCACTGTAATACTCGGGGTTCTTCTCCTATCAGCTGTGCAGCTACCGACATTATTGGGATTTTTTTTTTTTTACTTTTTTTTTTTTTTTTTTTTTCCAGAACTGCCCATTGCTAAGAGGATTTGGTATTTTCCCGGACCCAAGCCCTTTGAATAAAGCGAATCACAATTTTTTTTTTTTCCCTGTGTGTGCAGAGAGGGGGAAGAATAAAGCTAATGCCTTGGTCGTAAACGGCTGAGCGAGAGGGAGAGAGAGAGAGAGAGAGAGAGAGAGAAAAGAGAGAGTGTGTGAATTGTAGTTAACTCTAGTGTTGAAGACGACGACCTGGGGGGCTTCGAAACGTACAGTACAGCTCCTGCTTTTATTGCAAACCTTGCAAAGTGATTACAGTAAAATCAGAGAGGAGGAGGAGGAGGAGGGGGAGGAGGAGGAAAATCCCATGCTATCTGCTGAGATGAATCTTGAAAAAGCAAAATACACTGTCCCGTGAACTGTAAGTATATCGCAACTGGAAGGCAGGGAGAGCAGCAGAGGAGCCGGCAGCAGGGTTTTGACCACCAGCTGCACCAGTCATGAGACAATAAGTTTCCAGAAATAGAAGGATTTTATAATCGATCACCTGGACTCTCAGCCGCTCTGTTAGCTTATCGGGGGAGTTTACTGGGGGGCAGGTGGGAGTGAGAGGAGGGCGGGGGGTTTCGGTACGAGGAAGATGAGGAAGATGAGGACCCTCCTTCGCTTTGTGCATTGCTGCTGCTGCTGCTTCTTGCTCCTCCTGCCTCCGCCGCTCTGGGTCAGCCTGGCAGCGGCTAAGCAGCTCCTGAAGTACCGGTTGGCAGAGGAGGGACCCGCCGACATCCGCATCGGCAACGTGGCTTCCGACCTGGGGATCGTAACGGGCTCCGGAGAGGTGACATTCAGCCTGGAGTCGGGCTCCGACTATCTCAAGATCGATAACATGACCGGGGAGCTGAGCACCACAGAGCGGCGCATCGACCGCGAAAAGCTGCCGCAGTGCCAGATGATCTTCGACGAGAACGAGTGCTTCTTGGACTTCGAGGTGTCGGTCATCGGCCCCTCGCAGAGCTGGGTGGACCTCTTCGAGGGCCGGGTCATCATCCTGGACATCAACGACAACACCCCCACCTTCCCTTCCCCCGTCCTCACGCTCACCGTGGAGGAGAACCGGCCCGTGGGGACCCTCTACCTGCTGCCCACCGCCACCGACCGGGACTTCGGCCGCAACGGCATCGAGCGCTACGAGCTGCTGCAGGAGCCCGGCG